GGAAGATGGCAGGAGGGAGGGGCTACTATATTTGGGCAAAAATGGCCGCTCCCAGACTCAGTGATCACGACGAAAATTTTCAATTTTATACGGATTAATGCTAAATTCATCAAATCGATGCAAACGTATTAGTTTTAGGTATAGATAATGATCCATTGATCATTCCTTGCTGATCAGAATCTCCCTTCTATTCCAGTCTCTATATAATATACCTGAACAAAAAACACTCTGTAAATAATTAGCTTCCTTAGTAAAGGTTAGAACAATAACGTTAATTCGATAAATCTTTTCTGTCTTAATGCATCATTAAAATGATTTTAGATACCAAATTAAGGGTTTCTACTGATCATCACAACTAAAACGATCAATCAATAATAGAAGTTTCCCTTCTTAAATTAAAGGAAATAAATCTACTTCCTAATCTAAATGTATTGAGATGTGCTCCTCTGAAGCTTATAGTTTCTCCTGCTGTTGCAGCTTTCTGCCTGCAGATGGCAGTGTGTTACTGCACTACACCCTCTGCTCTGACCTGTGGTGATGCGGTGCAGCGGCAGCGTGACGTAGGTCAGGTGCGAGTAGAGCAGGAAGTAATCCTCGGCGCGGTTCAGTTTGAGCCAGGAGCCGACCAGAGAGCGCCCGGTTCCAGAGAGCGAGCGCGAGCGAAGGTTGGTGGCCGTGTGGATGTCTGGGAAGACCGGTTCAGTGCAAATCAGTACGTGAAGCAATGAGAAAAAACCCACAGTGACCATTTTACTGTCATCTCTTCACCTTCATCCTCTTCCTCCCTGAAAAACTCCTCGCTGTCATTGGCGGAGTGGGACTTCTTCATCTCTGCGATTCGGTTTCGGGGGACTTTTCTTCTCAGGGACGGAGAGAAGAAGGAGGGACGGTTCCTCTCGGGGGTCGGAGGAGTGCTGAACGACGTCACCTGTGGGGAAAACGCCTCGTTAGTTCACCCTGAAAAATTTCATAGTTTAACAACCGTTAATGTTGGTGGCGATGACCTCTATAAACAAAGAATTCCTCCATCTTGAGCTCAGACTATAAACCAGACATGATTTTTACTCATCAGATTGTAAAACGATGCATAATTCAGTCCTGCTGCATTTATTATTGACGGTGACCTGGTTTCTTCACAAAGCTTCTGGACTTTCTATCCGCTTCCAGCAGGAGGCTCAGAGCTCCTGCTCTGCCTCATGGGCTGGATTTCACCCTCACCCGTTCATGCATGGGGGACACCTGGTCCTCCTCTGTGTTGCAGGGTGACGTGTCGCCCGTCGGCACCCGACTGACGGCCATCTCTGCGTGACCCTTCCCCTGTGGCCCCTTCATCCTCACAAACTCCATGTTGTTGTACTTGTAGAAGCCGAACGACATCCGCTGGGCCATTTTAGCAGCGACGCTCACCTGCAGCAACAGAGGATTCATTATTTGCTCTCCTATGTTTATAAGGTTAACCCTTTAAAGGGCAAGTTACCATCTCTTTGATCACTTGCATATCCCTTAAGCCCGGCGTACACTGTGCGATTTTCCAGTCGTGCAAGAATCTTTTGATCGGGCTGACCTTTAGCCTGATCGTGCGTCGTGAGTCATGTAGTGTAGAGGGGGTTACGAGTGACGATCAGGCTCTAACGACCGCCTCCTGATCAGGAATCGTGAGGTCAGGAGAATATCCAACATGTTTGATTTTCTCCCAACCGTCATGGGAAAATCGCTCAGGGCGCAAACAATGATTTTTCTTTTTATTCTTCCTCTCAGACGTAAACCCAGCAGTGTGACGGGGGTGCAACGAGTTAAATGCAGTTCTGTCTGTAAAATTAACAGACCGTAGCAGCCACGTTTGCTCAGCCAAGTCTTTTTTTCAAATATGTCGTCACCTTTTCTTTTTAGGGCTTTCAGCACAAAGTTACACAAATTGCCATGGCAACGCGTTTCACTATAGTGAGCTTAATATCCCCCTTCTATTTGATGCTTGTTGATTGCTTCTACTTGCAACAGAGCAGCTCCATCTCACTGCAGAGCTCAGTCCGACGTGGTTTTTAGTCGTACACTGTGAGCAGGTACATCGGATCAGAGCGTCGGGCAGAAAATAAATCGTGAGCTGTGAACTCACACTGTACAACTAAACTCTGCGGTTAATCGTACAGTGTGAGCAGCAGCTGCGTGCAACGATTGAAAAAAATTAAAATAAATAAATCGCACAGTGTACGCCCAGCTTTACAGATGGAGTCCCCTACGTCCCTCAGTGAGGTCTAGATGCACAAGATCTATATCCAGCGTACATCTTATTTTACCTACTGGAAATTAAGTTGGAAAAAAAAAAGTTAAGAATAAAAAGGTAAAAAGCTAATTGAAAAGTTAATAAGCCTAGCAAACAATTATATTTAGGTTTATAAACTAAAAAATTGCCAGTATCAGCATTAATGCCTCTAAGGTTATGATGTACCAAAAATTTATTTTTTACTCTCAGAGTGTTTTGAATGAATTTCTTATAGAAGCACTGTTCCTATTTTTCTTAATATATTCTGGCAAGATGGCGTTTTTTTTTTTTTTTTAATTACACTGGCATAAATTTTTGCCATCAAAATAGCCATTTTTTTATGTTACAAAGGTGATAAGGTCTTGTCCTGGATTCCAATAACACTATTAGCTTGAAATTTGGATTTTCAAAGTATTTCACTGAGTGCCCTTTAACCCTATAATGCCAAATGTATCATATTTGATACATATGGTTTCTGAAATGTTTTGTGTTTGACACCTTTTGCATAATTTAATGGTAAAAACTTTGCTCAAAATCCTATTGTACACAATCAGATAAACCTGATAACAGCCAGTAGAAGACTACACGAAAAATAATATTGACTTATAGCATAGTAATAAATTATTAATATCAAAAATGTATTTCTGTTTTTTCTTTTTACATATTTTGTTAAAAGGCCAAACAAGGAATTCAAACAAAAAAAAAGTCATTTTCTGTTTTGTTTTATTCTTGGATCGGGCTTTAAAGGGATAAAGGGTTAACTGATTATAAAATATATTTATAGTCAGAAAATCCAACTGTAGTTTTGTTTAAAAAGCTTCATTTTGAGTTGCTAATGTCAGGGATTATTACCCGGTTGTCATAAACCTTCCTGAGGGCCTCGTAGCGGATGGATCCCTGGAAGATGACGCCCTGGAAGGTGTTGCTCTTATCGCTCGCCACCAGCTCCACACACACCATCTCGCCCTCGCCGACGGTCATGTCTCTGAACACCTGCACAGGCAGACAGGGCTAAATCCATGGCGGTTCTTACACCTGCGGTCCTGCTGCTGCGTAAAGAGAAACATTTAGCTAAATGCTGCAGCTGCATGCCGTTTCCTGCAGCAAACCTGTTAAAGGAGGTTTTAGCTCAGCCGCTCTGGATTAAATGTGGAGGAAAGTCACCTTCAGCACTGCAGAAACTTCTGCTTTATTTCCAGTCATTCCTTTTAAATCAATCAAGTTCTAGAATAATCTCCAACATTTCTTCCATCATCTTCTGCAGTTTAAATCTAACACCCATTTCTCTAAGCGTTAACGTAAAATCAAATTTTTAGAAACATGTTTATGTTGGTTTGAGGATCACAGTTGAAGGTCACTACCTCTTCAAAGTTGTCAATCATGAAGAAGATGTTGGGATAGCTCATCTTGGACTCTTCTCCTTTGCTGTCCATGGCGTGTTTGCTGGGAGACGCGAAAACCTCCTGGAGGAAGAAGAGGAAAAGATGAAGGAAACTGAGCGGGTGCGACTCAGCAGTGACTGATCCCATTTCCTACCTGACACTTCTTCTTGTGGATGTGGATGTCGCCGGCGTCTGAGCGCGTACAGACGGCACAGGTTACCACGTAATCCAGCTGTGGGGAGACAACGTCTCAGGTTGGTCGAGGAAAAGGAACCAACAGCCATCAGGATGAATTCACAGATTAATATTCATTTGTAGACCAGCTGGATTATAATCCCTGCATCCTGACTGGGTCCAACATGGTTTTATTTGGTTTTCTGTATTTATTAAATGTAAATGCTGGGAAATTATTTCTATTCTGTTGGATTTTGTGTCCCATTGTTCGATCAGCAGCTTTACCTTCTGCAGGATCAGATTCAGGTAAACACTCTCCTCCCAGTCGATGTCTGGGTCACCGAGGCCCGGAAGCTTCTTTGAGTCCCTTCTGTAGACCTCCACCTCCACCTAAAAACAGAAACCAAGTAAAGTCATCAGGTTTTCTACCTAAAAATGCTAATTCTAGCTCTGCAGGTTGTAACGGCAATTATATAATCTGTCCCTTTGCTTTCAATCCTCCATTTTTTGTCCCCCAGGTGTGAGAGATTTCTCTGTTTTTCCCCCCTTCCTGTCAGACGCTCTTCAGGGAGATCCCGGGTCTCTAAAATGCCAGGACTTGTATCAGTCAAAGACCTTTTAGAGCACCAGAACGGTTGCCATGGTTACATCTGTTTCTGTGTGGAGAGCTGATGGGATGAAAAGGCTCCACGTTGGAAACAGGTGGATGTTGCACAGCAGCGTTAGGATCAGAAAAGACAACAAGTCGATTGTTTTCCTGTGGATTCATGGAGCAGAAACAGCCTTAAAAGCGTCACCTTTCCTAGAGGGGAAGTGAGGAGAAACACTAATCTTTATTTTATCTTTGAATGTCAAACAGGCAAGAGCAGAATAGGAAATTCATTGATCCTTTTCTTCGATAGATCAGAATCGATGTTTCCAACAAATCTCTATAAAAACAGCAACAGAAACATGAGTAAAACAAATCAACAACACATCTTCAGAATGTATTGACAGAAAACATAAATCAGGGAACGCCTGAAAACATCTAGACTCAAAAGTCAGGATAAAGTCTATCTTAAAGCAGAAATCAGTTAAGTTTATTTATATAATAACAATTAACAACCTGCGTCTGGATTTAGTTCAATCAAATCATAGATAGTCGGGTTTAGGAAGGTTTCTATCCAGGGAAACTCATTAGATCGTATTACTCTATTTGCAGCACAATAGTTGGATCATTGATCGGCTCTAAAGAACCCTGAAAATGTGTGAAAAAAAAAAAATATATCAGCCGATAACACGCCAGATCAGCTGCTCCAGATTTAACTGGTTTGTTTCTCTCTGCTAATAAAACACCAACTGATAATTGACCAACAACAGAAAGCAGGATGCAGTGAGAGTCTGACGGGGATTGATGAGCAGGGAGGAGGCTGACAAAACTGTAGCCGCTGGAACAGAAGAAGCAGAGTTAAAAGGAGGAGTTTCTGATTTGGCAGCACGGCTACGATCCAAACCTCACCTATCAGACCGATTAAGGTAGAGACTGGAAGAACTGGATCGAGCGGTTGGAGGATTTCCTGTTACAGGTGGGTGTGCTCTGATTGGGACTCTGACCAGGACCCACAGAGCAAGGCGGATACCTGCCCGTGAGAGTTGATCAGGGAATGGTTGATGGAATTAAAAGCTTGATGCTCTGGTTGAGCCGCTGTAACGAAGAGCAGCGGCGTTAAAGCCGTGACCCCGCAGCACAAAGCAGTCAGCTGTTCCTCCGTCTGAGGAGGAGGACGAGATAAAAACTGTTACGGTGAGCCGGACCTGGAGAAGCGAGGGGGTAACCATGGCAACCAGAGATGGAGGGGCACGTGGGACAAACTACAAAAGGCAGACGTGGAGAGTCTGTGTTCTCCAAATGTAATTATGAAAAGGCCAGAGATGAATGCTGCTGCATCAAAGAGACTCAGTGTGTGTGTGTTGGGGGGGGGGTTATGCTAAGCTTTTACCTAAAAAAAAAAAAAAAAAACAGGATTGTTAAATAACCGCAGATGCAAACATCATTGTCCTTTAAAAAAAAAGTCAGAAATTAAATCTTAAATATTTAAATAATTAAAAGGAAAAAATATTCAGTTTATTTCTGAAATGTATTTCCTTTCTTTAAGTGTTTTGTTGTTGCTTCATCTGGTTGCCAACTGTTAGTAACTGGGCTGTTTTGGAAGAGTTTAGTTTTTGACTAATTAGAATAAAATAAAGCTATTTGCCTTGATTTGTTCTTACTCATTGGGTATCCGTCCGTCTTTGGAGGATTTTCGTTTCTCTGGGCTGCAGCGCAGAAGCCGCCCACAGACCAGGAGATAGATATACGGATATATTTTAGCATTTTTGGAAACGATCACAGTAAAATCTGCAGTGCAGGGCGGATGAACTCTGCACCGATCAGAAGAAGCGCTGCCGCTGCCCTTCGTCTCGCTGTGTAATTACATGTGGCCTTTGGAAGGTCTGACCTATGAGCGGACACGACTGCAGCTGATGGCCTAAAATGGCAAACGTAGATTACATCTGCTGCCGAGCGAAAACAGGGAAGATTTTCTGTTCAGGTTTCAGCTCATATGATGCAGAGATGGAGAGCTGGTGTTTGTCCAACAAAATCAAAAGAACTAAGAAGTCTTCCTTTTTATTAATAAGCATCATCATGTCTTCATCCAAATTATTCCCCCCTGAAAAAAAAAAAACTGAGCTTATCTCCATTATCTGGGTTAAAGAAACTGCTTTGCACCAAAGTAAAAAACACTCAGTAGCTGCTTTTCTTGGTTCAAAGTTGCAGGAGGGTAAAAATAAGAGGTGAAGAGGGAGCAGTAATCATAAATTTAAACTCAACACCCAAAGGAACCCTTTGCTCATACGGAATAAACTCCACAAAAATCTGTAAATTAAGGTTATAAAACTGATGTGTCTAGATGCTTTTGGGAACATATTTGGTTTGAGGTCTTTAGGAGAAGAATCAGAGCCTCTGTGGGGAATTGAACCTGAAACTGAGAGCATAATCTGCCCAGATTAGAGGGGTCTGTATCTTTAATGATACAGAATCCTGACCGTTTATGCTACGTTCACACCGCAAGCAGCAGAGGCAGCTAATTTACATGTAAAGTCAATGCATGACACGCATCAAGGTGCAGCAACAGGTCCTGCAGCGCGTCTCAGCAGCAGAAGCAGCGCGTCATGAGCTTCTGAGCATCTGAGGCGAGCAATGCTCTTCAGAAGCAGCAGCTGGAGTTGGTAAAATGTAACTTTAGCTGCTAGACGCGCCTCATCAACCAATCAGAGAAGCTGATCAGGGAGCTGGCAGGGAGTCAGACGCAGCACTGCTGATGCAGAGCGCTATGATCACTCCTCTGAAACAGTTTATTAACGACTAAATTAACTTCAAATGTAGAAACCTGCCGGCTAAATATGTTCAAGTTTATCATCCTGGTGCCTGCAGGTTGGATTACATACCGGAAAAATGCATTTCAGCCATCACAACCACTAGCTGAAAAACGCGAAGAGGTGACCGGGCCTGAGGCTGCTGTTGAATGGGATTCCCAGTGACAGCGCACCGCCAGTATGTGGGGTCAGACGGACTCCGACAGAGAAACAATATTTGAAGGCAGGATGGTAATCTGGATGAACTGACTGCACAGAAAAAGTTTTCAGGTGGATTTTCTCACTTAAACATATAATCAAACTACTTTTTACCCGCTGATCACAGCTAATATAGCTGCCATTGAACCAGGAAAAGAAAGGATAGAGTAGCTCCGCCCATCGTGCATCAGACCCACTTTTCGAACCCGCAGCCAGAGCAGCAAAGATCCTTCAGCTGCGCGTCAGAACTAGGTGTAAATCACATCCATCATGGCGATTTGATTCAGTATCGATTTCCTGACCCAACGATTTGATTATTTTCGATACTCAAGAATACACCACGATACGATTTGATTAATGTTTTTCTTTTTTTAAAACAGGCTAGACAATGTTTCAAATTTGAAATAAATCAATGAAAGCTGTAATATCGTTATGCATTTTTTTTATACAAACAACAGCAAATAACAGAAGTAGAAAACTTGCATCAAAAAATACTCCAGACGTCCTGCCCCCTCCACAGACGCTCCGCTGCTCCTCTCCCAGATTGTAGCTGACCGCAGACAGGAGGCCGGCTTGTTTTGTTTTTATGACCGAAATTTCGGAAAACAACTCGTGAAGTTTGACCCGCTAGAAGAGCGAGGTGCGCGAGAACGCTGGGACCCTTTTTCCACCTGGATCTCCGCTCTTTTTGGCCCTCANACTCGCCCCCACTTCCTCGCCGCCTCGGCCGTATCTAGACCCACAGCGTGTAGCACAGACCACGCTTCAATATTGAGCATAAATAAAAAATGTCTGCGTCAAGCTCACTGCAACACACTGCTGTAAGAGTATAACCAGGAAGTGAGGTAGGAGGGCAAAATAGGTTTAGCGCCACCGCAGCATGGGAGGAGAATTACGAGCATGAGCAAATGGATAAAAATAGACCGGAGGAAAAATAAACATGAATCGATTCTCTTGCGGACGCATCGATTCATCGGATCGTCGGCTGTTGGATCGATGCATCGATACAAAACGATTATTATTTACACCCCTAGTCAGAACTAAACTGGTACAGGCATCAAAAATTAAGCAGCAGGCATGTTTTTGTTGCTCCTGCTGTGTGCCATCTGAACGTAGCATTAGCATAAAGTTAGCTCATATGTGAATCCCTGACCATAGAAGTAGGAGGCTGGCTTTGACTAGGCCATTCAAACACATGCGGGTACTTTAAATCAGGCTCTACTTAGCTACACACTTTTGTAGTAGTTTAGATAAATGGTTTAAATTGCAGCTCAACTGTGAAGAAAATAACTGACCTAAATCTTCGGCACACAAACAGTCATTGTTTAGAATAGATTCCTCTGCATATCTGTGTGTGAAGGCTGAGCTTCAGGTCATAACGTCCATCTAAATGATCCTCATGTCAGTTACACAACAGCTGAGTTCAGAAATCCTCCTCCTGAACATTTCATCATTTCATCGACATTATAAATAACCAGAAAGACTGTAAACATATGTGATGTGGAGTTTTCTTCTTTTTCTAGTAAGAAGCAAAGTTTCTCCTGGTCACCTTTTTCCCCTCGCCGTTGTCTGCGCCGACGTAGGCAGGCTTCCTGCGGACGTAGAACAGCATGTCGTCCTGCCGAGGTGCCCACTTCTCCATGAAGTACGTGGAGAACATCCAGGTCCAGAAAACGATGCGGTCATCTTTAAAGCAGCCTGGAAAACGCAGCAAAGAGGCAACGCAGGGTTAAGATGGATGACCACAAAACACAGCAGAGACTAAAGCTCTCATTTCAGCTTTTATTAATCAGCATCGTTTTGATTTCTGATAATATTTCAATTCTGTAACCCTCCAGCCGTGAAATGCCAGGATGCTGCTCCATCCAGAGGATGTTAATGTTCCTGCTGAGGAAATAAAACCAGGAAACACCTCAGAGGAAAGGAAGCCGCCTCTGCAGGGCGTCCCTCCCTTCATTTAGAATATCTCTGACTAAATCACTTACAAATCTTTCTGTTGAGGCTTTTATTCTGGAAAACGGTACAAATTAAGGCTGTGAGGTCGAAGGAGTCAGACACCAATACACTGATGTTTAATGCTGCTTTGCTTGTCACCTGATTGAGGGCAGTACCTGTCTCGTTACCTGGCAACCGTTGCTAGGAGTCAGAAGGGCGATGTTAACGGTGCTTATCGCCTGATCAGATGCAGAAATTTAGGCTTTTATTGAAGAAAAGAATGAGTGAGTTGCTAAAGGAAACAAAAAAGATTTTTCTAATGCAGCATTTGTTAATATTAAAGGTATAGAGAGGATGATATTTTTCCTGGTGGATCATCTAAATAAGTGGTCCTCCTAATTGTCAATCAGTCTGGTGATATGTTTACATATTTGCTCGTCCACATTTTCACTTACCGGAGTCCAGTCTGACATGGTGGAAAAATTGCAAATCTTCCTTTTGATAGTAAGCTTTTATGAACGATGCAAACAGCAACTTTTAAACAGAGCGTGCACAAGAAGAAATGTGCTCACGTACAGCGGGTACAGGGTTGTGCATGTGCATTTTTTTACAAGTGGAGAGGGCGGGCCTTTTCAAAAATATGCAAAAAACCTCCACTATACCTTTAAGGCCTGAATATTTAAAGTATCACTGAATCATTTTGAGACAAATGTCTGGAAAACCTCAGGAAGGAACCTAGGAAGTCCAGTGATTCGATGTCTGATCCATTTCTGCCGACTTAAGTCGCTCCTGCTGATCCTTGGAGAAGATCCAGAACTTTCAACCAAAGGACAGTACAGGAAAGCTAAAGATCTGCGTTGGTTATTCTTAGCAACATTACCAGGATTGTGGTAAAAATCAAAAACATTTCTTGTATAATTGTTCGTCACTTCCTCTTTTCTTTTTTTATAACAAAGCTTTCTTTAGTCTGGATTAGCAGCTTAGCCTCAGGATTAGCAAATTATAACCTTAATTAGAAGCTCGGGGGGAGAAAAACCAAACCAATCAAACCCAGATCCTGATAAGAGCCGGTTGAACAGCCGAGGTTTGCTATTTTAGATGGAAACCCAACATTAGGGGGAGGAGCGGAGCCGAGCACAGGAGAGTTAACCTCGTTATCTTTGATCCATTTGGCTTTGATTGAATAACATCGGAGCTTGAGAAGAAGAAGAAGAAGATGATGAAGGTGTGGGGAGGAGGATTTCCTCCAAACACTTAGAGGTTTAATTATTAAAATGGGGCCAAAGATGTAAACGGAGAATAAGAGGAAAGTGGGACAAATTTCTGAAAACAGCAGAGATTATGTCCCGATTATTAATTTATATCTAGATCATAGAAATAAATATCTGATTAGGCCGCTATATTAGAAGAGAAAACACCTTGTTTAAAATAATTATTGATTTCCAGAGTGAAACAAAGATGTTCTCAGTTCAAATAACAAACAGATTCCTGTGTGTTCAATCTGCTGCTGCTTTGAGATGACCTCTGGACCTCATCCAGACACACTTGGCACCAAGACCAGAGCCTCTCAACAAGAGCTGCTGCTGAACCCAGCAGGAAGAGCCTCTGGAAAGTGAGAAACAGCGGATCAGGAAGACGGAAATGTGCCAGCCATAGGAAATCGTTAACTCAAGGTCCTCCTACAAAGTTCTGCTGCAACTTTAAACTCCACTGCAGAGCCGCTTCCTTACACATCAAAGGTCGAGTTTAATAGCCTCAAACTGGTTTGAGATTAAGTTTTAGACAATAAATGTAAAGGTTTAAAATATTTAAGGCCAGGGCAGAATTAAAAGGACCCGAGGGGGAAGATGGAGACCTAAAGAAAGCCTGAAAACGTAAATCTCACAACGGTTCTGCACATCTGTGCCTCTTCTTCCTGCATTAAGCAGAGAACGGCTCTGCAGCAACCTCAGAGAGATCCTGCTCTATTTATAGACTCTGATCCCGCTTTAAAAATACATCAGCTGATGATGAAACTGGGCGCAGCATCATACGTCCCGTGAAAGTGAGGAGAATCACCAAACGACCCTTAACGGAAGCTAAGCACGTCTTCAGCCGCATTCAGAGGCAGCGAGTTCTACGCTCTGGATTCAAAGAGTAGGAACTGGACGGTGGAGAGCGCAGAGATGGAGCCTCAGTGGGGATTATAGGTGAGAAGTTCAGAGTTCACCTCAAAGAAGGGTTGGAAAGGGAAGAAGAACTGGAACCAGAATGAATCAGAGTGTCTCCTCCCAGTGGGAAGTTTCCATGATGAAGCTGTGAAATGTTCTGAATCCCAATATGAATGTGTGTGAAACTTAAAGAATCCAATTGTTTTCATAGTCGTAATCACGAAAGAGGAAGATCAGAGAGGAAACATAAATTACAACCAACATCAAAAACGTCACAAATTTCCATGAACTGCTTGGATTAAATCTAGATCTCATGACTGTAGCTGATTGTTAGAAGTCGACTGACCAGTTAATCCACAGCTTCAAGCTCCAGTTAAACTCCCTCCTCACCCTATCAGACACCAGAACCAAATACGCCCTCTTCAGATGGAGGAAAATTTGAATCTCCATCACTTGACCTCCCTGACTAAAGCGTGTGACCCATTTGTCGCTTCTGTCATGTGATCAGGCTGAGAGGATGAAGTCATGCGACGGTTCCTCAGGGCGGATCTTGTGCTTTCTGTATGTTTCAGATGACCTGCTGCTGGCTTAGAGAAACAGATTCAACATGAAGAGGTGACATAGATCAGCTGCTTTTCATCTCTGCAGATGATTTCTCCTAACCTGACTCCGCCAGATGGATTTGCTCCGCATATCCATCTGGAAACCTTCCGTTGNATGTTCTTTAGACTGAACTGTCGCGCTTCTCGTTGCGTCACACCTCAACCCGCCTCAAAGCCAACGCTGATTGGACGTTCATTTGGTGAACGGCTCCAGTTTTTCTTTAACGGAGAGTCTCCAGACTGATCTGCGAGTGAAACCTTGAAAGCTCGCGAGATCAGGATGGTCTCATGAGGCTAGATTTTTCCCAATCATCAGTGAAGGAATGGTCAGTTGGAAGACTAAAGGGGTTAAAAGGATATTAAAGCTATTAAACCGCCTTCAGCAGCAGCAGCAGCAGGTTGGACTGTTCGCATAAAGCTGGATGGATCCAAACCTTCATGTCATTCATGCTAAATTCTGACCCTATCAACTGAATAATTTTGCTGCTTAAAGGGGAACACCGTTTTTTTTTTACATTGGTCCTTGATTTTCCGTTATTCCATCATGCTCTACTCACCCATATGAGTTTTGTGTCATTTGGAGCCGTTCTGAAGATTTTCCGTTTTATAATCAAGATAACGTCATGTGATTAAAACTAGCAGCAGTTCAGCGGACAGGATGAAGGAATGGTAGCCGGCGCGCATGGATGATGTCATACACGCGCCGCTTTGTTTTTAAAAGATATAAATATCAAAAATCTAACGGTGGATGTCTGGGGGACAGTGATTGGCCTCCATGTTCTGAATGCTGGCGTACCATAAAGAATAAATGATGAACAGTTTAGTTTGTGCCTTCAAGTCGTTGCCCATAGGAAGACGTTACTGGATATAACCTAACGGAATATCTTCAGAACGGCTCCAAATGACACTAAACTCATATGGGAGAGTAGAACAGGATGGAATAACGGAAAATCAAGGGACCAATGTAAGAAAAAAAACTGTGTTCCCCTTTAAGCCGACAGTCAAAGGACGATATATTTTCCAGGCCAATTTTAGTATTTCGGTCTTATAAGCAGCCTATATTTCATGATCATAGATAAGCACCTGGTGGTCATCTGCTGCTATAGCTCATCTGCCAACGGTTCCAGATTAACAGCTGACTTTCCTCCAGTGGAGCCTGCATAGTTTTCCTTTAATGTTTCCTGATCCCTGCAGTGAAACTTCTTTCATCCAACTCCTTTTAAATCACATCTATGGAAGGATGTAACAATAGATGAATGGAACCGAAGATAAACTATCTGGGACCAACAGGATGAGGCATCCCAGCAGCTAAACCCAAACAGACTGTAAACAGATGGGAGACTTCCTGTCGGGATGTCCTTCTGTCGGCGATGCCCGGCGGTCAAACCTGCCCCAACGTTAATCAGCTGTTTCACAGACTAAAATGTACCTTCCTGTAAAAAACTCTCCTCCTTTCTCCTGAAATATTCATCAGGATTTATTACTCGACTCTCAGAGAGAGAGAGAAGCTATTTTTACAGCACAGAATCAGACCTCTGTAGATGAGCCAGCGTCTGAGGTGATCTATTCCCTCAGACAACAAGCTGATGTCAGTGTATTTATAGCCACCAGCAGCGTTATGAGGTAATTAAACCCGAATCATGAAACTCGTCTCCACGTTTCTTCTGGCTGCTAAAATTTCAACCAGTTAAAGCTGGGATCTTTATTTTGAAGAGACGCCTGCAAGTAAAAACTGTCCTGATGAAGAAACCTCTAGAAAATATTATTAGAGGGAACGTTACTGATAGATTTGTCCAAATATAATTGAACTAATAATCTGGTAATCGAGTCCCTGACTCTGTACGTTCAGATTAAACTAAATCATCTTATGAGGAAGAAGATACTCGCTGCTCAGATTAGGTTAAAAATCAACTTCATACATTTTCTGCCCAGGTTGACTAAATGCATAAAGTGTAAAATCTACATCTGTCTATCAGGGTCCATTTCATAAATAACGAGTAGAACCAGACAC